AAACCAGTGAAGAGGAACACAAAGAGGAGCCCCAGGGGCAGGGCGTCGGGGCAGAGGAGAGGTAGCGAGAAGGCCGGCTCGCCGCCGTCTGGCGTCCGGCCGCCGGTTAAACGTGGCTGTCGTTGGGCAGGACTCTGCGAGCAGAGCTCCGAGGACGAGCAGCGCCCAGAGCCACGGGCGGCCAGGACCACCCACCCCAGCTGAGACTACCAGGGGAGCAACTAGCTACATGCTGAGGGGTATGCAGACTCATTATTATCCTTGTTGGAGATCTGATTGGACGCTGCATAAACTCAGTTAAGACATCTAAACTCAAGTGTATCATTCCCCAGTTGAACCATCTCCCTGCTTAAGATGCTGCCCCCCAACCCGACCACAGATAAGCGATGGATGATGGAAGGGTAGAAAACTAAAGGGTTATTAACCCTTTCCTGGCCCCACAGCCCCGACCTCTGCTTGTATCTCCATTCATCCCTGTGGAGGGATCACCCTCAGCCCTCCCTGTGATCATCGGCTCTTTGGGCCACTTCTCTCATATTTATCAGCATCAGAACCATTAACTATGCAGCTTAAAACACACCTGATTTCTTAGAGGTCAGAACCAAACCAGGAGAGGCTTCATTTCAGTTTGATGCTCCTCAAATCTGAATCGGTCTTCTTGAAGAGGTGAAACAGGGTTACTACAGCTGAATTTTTTTTAGCCTTTAATCTATTTATTTTATTTGGTTAAACTTATTTTTATTTGTTTTCTTTATCTTCATTGTCTGCTTTTAAAATGTAAGGTACTTTGAGTTGTCGTGGACACAAAACTCAAACTGTAACATAAACCTGTCTCGCCTCATTTTGGATGGGATTTCCCCTCCGCTTGTGGATTAAAGGTCCTCTTCCTCCCACAGGACGTCCCAGACCCTGTGAACTACTTTGTGACCCACTGGAGCAAAGACAGGTGGTCTCAGATGTCCTACAGCTTTGTGAAGACGGGCGGCAGCGGGGAGGCCTACGACGTGCTGGCCGAGGACGTGCAGGGAAAGCTGTTCTTCGCCGGAGAGGTAACTCTCCTGCCTCCTCCTGAGCCGCCCAACGCCGCCATTTGGCAGCTCGTTTTCACGCTTTGCTTCACACACACCTGAACCAGCACAAACCCAGAGATTCAACCGGCAGCAGTAAGAATCCTAAAACCAGGCACCAATCGGGTGCTGAAATTAAAACCAGATCAAACGCAACATCTGGCAAAAGTTTGAATTACTCCAAAACGTCACAGCTCCTGTAATACACAGAGAAGGAAGATGATTACTAAATGGAGTAGATTTGGATTCAAGCTGAAGCCCAAAGGCAACAGAAACTAGGTGTTTTTGCTGTGTACAACAAGCTGGCCAGAGGGGCTGAATTCCTGTTTTCTGTTCCGGCCAATCAGGGAGTAGAGCTCTCTTCTTCTTTGGGCTTTTTTCCTCTGGTCAGGATTAACTGACTTTCAGACAATCGACGATCTCTGACCCCTCGACTGACCCCTCCCCTTAAGAAGTTTCAGGATGAGAACAGAGATTTCTTTAAGCTCCAAGAAGTCCAGCTGCCTGCCCAACCCAAACTACCTCAACCAGTTGGTGACAAAAGAAATGAGAAAATAAAATGAACTCTGCGGGCTGAATATTGTCACTTAAACTCAGTGAGGACAGGAAACGGATCACCGGATCACCAGCTCACCGAGTCCGCTGACTGTTTCAGGATTCAGGCTTCAAGAAGCATCAGGATGTGAGGAGAAAAGTCTCACAAGAAGAAGAAGTCCAGCTGGCTGTGTTTAGGCTCTGAGCATCAGTAACCCAGCTAATGCTCAATATGTGACTGTGTTTGATTCCACTGGTTTTAAACCAGGTTTAACCTTTCATTATTTGTCATTTCTTTTCCCACCAGGCCACCAACCGACACTTCCCTCAGACCGTGACGGGGGCCTACCTCAGCGGGGTCCGAGAGGCCAGCAAAATGGCTGCTGTGTAAGCCGGCGGCCTCGCAGCCCTTGGACGCCGGCACCACCAGACGGATGGCCGACACGGCCGGCGTGGAGCTGAGCGCCTTGGAGCTGAGTGGCGGCATACCTCTGCATCAGGGTCCAGCAGGGCTCTCTGCACCTGCTTTCACACACTTAGCACAACAGCAGGGGAGCTGCTCTATATTTATATCAAATCCCATCAGGGAAAGTGCTTTTTTTTAAATCGAAAACCACCTCAAAGTGCAGCTCTGTCGGATTTCTGGGAAGCAGGACGCTGTTTTTACTCCACTTCAGATCACAGTCAGCACAGAATTAATTTGCTTTGATTTGCTTAAAACTTTAGGAAAACTAGGTCTTTAATCAGGAATACCTAAATAACTTTAATATCCTGGGATTATGGTCGTGTGATCGGGTCTAAAATATCGTTAAACACGGTGTAGTGAGGTAGATTTATTCTTTCTGTGGTTTAGACGGTTAGACTTAGATATGGAGAACTTGTTTCATGTCGTTGGATTTTTCGAAACGTTTAAAGGAGGAATTCGATCAGGACACATCAGCCGTCCCATTTCTTTCTCAGGGATGTTATCATGAAATCAAATGAGCCCATACGGTGAGAAAAGAGTGGAAAAATAATGAGAATGGACAGTGTTGGATTTAAACAGCTGTTGATGCCGGCGTGTGACTCCTTTCTGTCTCTTCCTGTGTGTCTGAGGCCTGAATATTTATCCTGTATGTGTCTAATAAACTGAGCTCAAAACTGCCGAAAGAAGCGGTTTCACTTGCATTGAGTGTTTCTGCCCTCCTCCGCCAAAAAGTCAGATCAATTCTGATTATTTCTGTTCTACATTTGGTTCTTTCAGTGTGTCTGTGACTGACATGGATATACAGATGGTTTAGCATAAAATAGTCCTTAAATGATCCCTGGTGGTAATATCACAATTTTTTAGTTGGTTTCGTTACTTGTTCCCTATATCTTAACTAATTTCGTTGGAAAAATGTTTTACATCTACTATGAAAAAGATTGCCAGAACAGAACAACCTCAGTCATAATAAAAACACGCAATAAGGACCAGAAAATCTGACATTTTGAACCTTGAAAAAAAAAATCTTTGTTTAGATGTTTCAAAGATGTATGTATGGATGCATGCATGTATGTATACATATATATTTATAATAATTGTGAATTTAAAAACGATTAATCAAAATCAGTTAAATGTAAATGTTTGTGCTCTGTATCCAGAAAGCCACATCTACTTTTCAGGATCTGGTTATTATGGAAACAGATTACATGTTAAATTTCAATATTTCAGTATTTATATCACAGAAACAGTTACAGGCTTTACTAGCTAAAAACACTCAGTATCAAAAGTACAGATGCTGGTTTACATTAAAACTGTATGTATGTATGTATGTATGTATGTATGTATGTATGTATGTATGT